AACTAGTCAAGCAGATATTACATATTTTTATTGTAGTTTTTTCTCCCCAAAAATGACAATTTGCATTAGAAAAAGTTTGTTGGGCATCGAAACTAAAAATCCCATATCAGACTGCAACTTCAATAGAAAAGTTGCAGGCAGTCAAGAGTAATATATTGCACAAGTACTAAATTACATTTTCTATTAAAAAAAAAAAAGTGATTGATGGATATGTTCTCCCACTCCCTATCAGCAATTTTTAAGACAGAGGAATCCAGGGGAAAAAAACCTGATCTAAACCCAACTCCAGTCTTATCAGATATGCTGTGATTCTCCTGTTGACTAACTATCTGAAGCAATTCAAGGAGAATTAACTTTAAGGAGAGAGAATATTTGTATAACAGTACAGGGCTTAATTGACAAGACAACATATGATCTGGATACACTGCATTGTGGACTTGAAGGAGTATAAAATTGATCTTGTAGGTTTGTTTGTATGTGTTTTCAAGGAGTTAAATGTTTCCCAAAGCGTGGTAACCTGCTTTTTAAATCCTACAGATATCCTCTGCTGAATCAAATTCACAGACATTGGCAAATTTGGAGGACAAATGAGTGCATTTCCTTCAACTATCTCAGCTGTAAATTGTGATAGCAACAATGGCTTTACAAGTTAAAGATACACAAAATATCTCCATCTGACATGACTCCCTAAACATTCTCTTGAGTTCCTTTAATTCAAGCTTCCCATTTATATGGGTATGCTGCATATGGAGAGAGTATAGAATATGGGAAAATTGCACTCACATAAGCAATTTTTTCATCTTGCTGTCTGTTCACCTTGAGTAGAAATCCCAAGATGTCTTGAGAACAACCACATTGGAAAAGGTGGATCCATTGTGAAACATGCTAATGTAATATTAGAATACATTTTAAATACAACTGCTGAAATGTGGTTTTGTGGTTCCTGCTTAAGTTGGGTGAAATTTTGCCAGTAAACCCTCAGCCTTCCAAGTTCCTATGAGAATTGCTGGGTGGAAGAGAGCAGCCTATTTGGTATAGTGGTTAAGATATCAGCCTAGAAATGACAAAACGGTTGAACTTTAGTTTACCTCAGGCATAAAAGCCAATTAAGTGACTTTGGACCAATAACTCTCCCTCAGTCCAACCCACCTTTCAGGGATGTTGTGGGGAAAATAGGAAGAAGTATTAGGTATATTCACCACCTTGAGTTATAATAAAAATGATAAAGTTGGGATAAATATGTAAAAAAAATGGAGGCCGTTTTTAATAGAATGCCCGAGTACCCCAAATACACGAGTGTGAATGTTGCTTCTCTTGCTGCTTTGACATACCTTTCATTTTTTGTCTTATCACGTGACTTCCTGTATTTTTCAGTTCGGGGAATGGAAGTTCCCCATGGCATGTTGGGTGCCATTCCAGAAAACCCCAACATTTCCTGAGTATTCTGACCCAGGCTTCCTAATCCATAATTATGCACATACTTATGCTAAAAACAAGAGTTATTTTATTGCAACACTGGGACTTGTTTTCACTCCCAGCAGGAATTAATCTCAAATAGTCCCCCAAGATAAGCACACACCTTTCAGTTCTGTGAAGTGCTGCCAAAAACAAGTATCAAATGAACTGGAAAAGAAACCAACCGAAGTACAAAAAGCTTCAAGAATGACTCTGAACCGATTGAACTACTTTGCTTCCTGCAAAAGTTTCATCATCTTGGCCTGTCCTTTATACCTTATGGGAGGGGCAATCACCTCCCAGCCTTACTCCCGAGTCACCCCTTTTGTTTCAGTTGCTCTCGCCTTCTAGCAGATCTGTGCATATGCACACTGGGAACAGGCTCCCCTGGGTCTTCTGCCTCGCTACTGCCAGACTCTGAAGGCTCCAGAGGCAGCACCCCACTCCCAGATGGTTCTGGCCCCATCTCTGCATCAGATGCAGGACCCTCGTCTGAGTCCTCTCCAGACTCCCTGACTGGTCCCCGTTCTTCCCCACTGTCCGATTCCACTGCCATCTGCACCGGCAAACCACAACACTGAGGGTGTCTGTCATCAGTTTGACATATACAGGTAGTAGTGCATTTCTTTGTTGTGGTTGGCTGATTTTGACCCAAATGTAAAATGTCAATAAGGAACAGGGTTATTATTAAATGATTAAATTATAGTGCTTTGCAGTGCTATGTTAATGATGGTTCTGAATGCTCTCATCTGTGCACGAAGGACAGCAATGCAGCTCAGTAGGCTTCCTAATATACAGTTAATCCTTGGCTTATGACAGATTGCTTAATAACTGTTTGAAGTTACAATGGAGCCTAAAGAAGCTACGTACAACCTGCATTCAACTCATACAGCAATGTGGCTCTCTACTGGCTGCCTATTCAAGTACCAACTAGCCTGACTCAGCTTTTGGCTTTTGTGAAGAGCAGCCACCCAGGCAAACAGCTGCCATCTGCTGTGACTTTTGAAGGCCTCTGGCTAGACATCGGTTCAGATAATCAAGGCATCGGATTAAGCTGTAAACCTGCAATCCTATCTGCATTTACTTGTAGGTGAGATGCAATGTAATCCACCAGCTGACAGGATTAGTTACAGTATGGTTGCCAAAATGCCTGACTTCAAGCTTTCTTATTCTGAACTCTTACTTTTCGAATGAGAATGCTGTGGATACTGGCTTGTGTACAGGCAGCACAGCGCTGTCTGTTTCGTACTTACCATTTTCAAAAGCGAGGTTAGAGCAGTGTTTCTCAACCTTGGGAATTTTAAGATAGGTGGACTTCAATTCCCAGAATTCCTCAGCCAGCATGCTGGCCACAGAATTCTGCGAGTTGGAGTCCATAAAATTGAGAAACACTGGGTTAGGGATATATGAACAGAAAGAAAAGCAACTCCGGTTTTGACCCTTTCATTCTTTCTGTTTCACGATTTAAAGCACTGCCTTCAGAGTCAAGACAGCTCATTCCCCTGTCAGTAAGTAAAAGACTGGCTTTTTACTCTGATTTTCTTATAAATCCAAACAGCTGCTCTGTTAGCCCCTTCTGTGATGATACAGAATAATAGAGTTGGAAGGGACCTTAAAGGTCATCTAAGTCCAACCCCCTGCCCAAGCAGGAGACCCTACACCATTTCTGACAGGTGGCAGTTCAGTCTCTTCTTGAAAGCTTCCACAACTTTTGAAGACAACTTCTGCTCCATCGGTTGATTGTTCTCATTGTCAGAAAATTTCTTATTTCTAGATTGAATCTCTCCTTGATCAGTTTCCATCCATTATTTTCCTTGTTTGGCCTTCAGGTGTTTTGGAAAACAGCTTGACCCTTTTCTCTCTGTGACAGCCCTCAAATATTGGAAGACTGCTATCATGTCTCTTCTTTTCATTAGACTAGACATACCCAGTTCCTGAAACCATTCTTCATATATTTAAGTCTCCAGTCCCCCTAATTATCTTTATTGCTCTTCTCTGCACTCTTTTCTAGAGTTTCAACATCTTTTTTTATAGTGTGGTGACCAAAACTGGATGCAGTATTCTAGGTGTGGTCTTACTAAAGCTTTATAGCGTGGTATTAGTACCTCATGTGATCTAGATTGAATGGTAACTGTGGTTCATCTGCTATGGTAATAGAAACCTCCCAAAAGTTCTGTGGTGTATTAAATAAGCCGGGCGTGGTGTCTTAAGAAAGGCTTATTGCAAAAATGCTATTTAATGTAGAGGATTCCTAAGCCTCCGTTTTGTGCTTTCTGTGGACAAGTTTTGGCAGATGCCCGCACGTGTGAATTTTCTGGGATGGCAGCTTGGAGGTCGGACTTCAATTAACTTTCAGGCCTCAGATGGTACATCCCCAGGTGATTTATTTTGAATTTACTGGGGTGCGGGTGAGGGAGCTAAAATCAACCTCCTCTACTACCCCACTAGATAATTCCGTTTGCAATTGCGGTGGCATACAAACATGTAGAATAGAATAGGATAGAATTCTTTATTGGCCAAGTGTGATTTGACACACAAGGCATTTGTCTAGGTGCAAATGCTCTCAGTGTACATAAAGGAAAAAAGAGATTCATTAAGAATCATCAGGTACAACACTTAATGATAGTCATAGGTTACTAATAAGCAATCAGATCATACTAGGAGACAAAACAATATAAATTGTAAAGATACAAGCAACATAAATGGGGAGAGATAGGCACTAGGGAGTGTTATTATAATCTAGTAGTAGAGGAATAATAGTAATACAGTCTTTAGTAAATAAGTTGACAGTGTTGTGGGAAATAGTTGTTTAGCATTCGGATAAAAATATGAGTGGCATAATCCCAGGGCCAATTCCCAGAACTGGAAAATGGGCATCCTTTACGGGTTCTTTTTTTTTTTTTAAATCCAAATGGGTTTCTTAAAAACTATTATACTCCAGTGGCAAAGTCCCATTTCAACACGAGGGAGAAACTGTGCGACCAACGGCAGGCTAAAAAAAAAAAATCGAAGCAGGGTCGACTTTTATTTTATTTTTATTTATTTATTTGGTTTGTCAATCGCTTGCAAGATAATAGGTCTAAGTAAAAACACAGTTATGAATACATGGATACATATAAGTAAAATAAAAAACAAATGTAAAAAAAAATAGGAAAGGGACCGTAGGCCCATTGGTGCGCTTATGCACGCCCGCTACAGGCCTCTTAGGAAAGGGGTGAGGTCAGTAGTAGACAATCTAAGGTTAAAGTTTTTGGGGTTTGGGGAAGAAACCACAGAGTCAGGTAGAGTATTCCTGTCTTCCCGCACATCAAACCAGGAGACCGGATAAAGTAAACCTTGCCCACGATCACAGGCAGACTCGGGTCCTCACCCCACACTGGTGTCCGGGAAGCGTGGAGCGGCCGTCTCGCCGCTTTTCTCCGCAGGGCCGCCAGGGGTCTCCGGCTGTTGCGCTCGCCCGGCGGAGGCCGCCTCTTGCGCGGAGAAGTCTTTCCGTGGCGCAGCTTCCTGTGCCTGACTCAGCTCTCAACCAGGCGAGGATTGGTTGAACCGGCCGGGAGCAAAGCCTTGCCTTGGGAAGTCCAGCCTCGGCGGCCAGGCAGTAACCCCTGTTGCAGCCTCCTCCGATTGTGCCCGATCTGGTGCTTGCAGTGCCCAGGTTTGCTCTGGCGCTGGTGCTTCCCCTCCGGGCGCCGCTGTTTGCTGGCGGATCCGTCCTGCTGCATCGGGTCTCGCCCGATCCTGGTGAGTAGCCGGGACGTGGGGGAAGAAGCTTGAGCTGGGCCCCTCGCGCCGTCATCGGGCTTGGAAGGCTGCTCGGCTGCGAGTCTCGGTGTCCTGATTGATTCCCTTCCTGGGGATCGCCGGAGGGAAAGCGGCACCGAGTGTCGCAAGATCCCTTTGCGCTTTCGCCTATTGCTCTGGCTGGTGGCTGCCGCCTGCTGATCTAGGCCGCTATTGTTTTCTTGGGGGGTTGACTGCTGCCCGCAGGGATAAACATCTCGGTACAAAGGAGAACCGGCTATTTTCCCCTCCCGGCCAGGGGATTTCCCCCCTCCTTTGCCCTCTCCGAGGGGTCATTGGAAAAGCGTTTTATCTGAATCAGTGCAAGAAAAATGTGTTTGCGCTTTCCTTGTTAGCAACAGCCCCATAAGGTAGGCCTACGAGCGGTGGGATCCGGGCTGTAAAAACCCCAATGTCCATTATATATGGTACCAAAGATTCTTGTTAGCCTCTTGCTGTTTGCTGCGTTTGGGGGTTTTCTTCCTGCAGCTCTTTCATTGTCGAACTAGGTAACATGGTAACTATAAACGATTTAAAAAGCAAGCAAACATTTAAAAAGGGAAAAATAAAACTGTCTGGAGCACATTCTCCCTTATTGCAATCCGAATCTGGAGAAGTGATATAGTGGATAAAGGTAGATTAAGCAACACAGACAAGTGTATAGACAGCTAAGATTTATGTAAAAGTATGTATACCGTCACGAAAGTGTTGTAATGAATGGAAATGATGTTGTATATAAGAAAAATTGTTTAATAAAAAGTATTTTTTAAAATAAAAAATAAAATAAAATTGGGGAGGATCTTCAGATTAAAAAAAAAAAGAACCTGGAGAAGTGAGGACCAGCACAATAGGCAGGAATCATTTAAATCATTTTTAATCATTGTTTGTCATTGTATGGACTTCAACTCCCAGGATCATCGTTTGTCATCGTATGGACTTCAACTCCCAGGATTTCCCTGCCGGCACATTGAAAAACATTGTTTTACAGGAAACAGTGCAGCCAACCAAGCCAGGTAGCCAGTCAGAAACAGGTTAGGAAAGACCACTCCCTTGTGTCAATTTTCCTAGTTGGGTAATGAAATATTTTCAGGAAGAAAACCAAGCCCAGCAAGCACTGACCCCAAACATTTTTAATCCTGTTTACCCTTTGTAGCTAAAGGTCACTTCTTGTATATTCTCCATTATCATTTGCAACTTTCCAAAAATAGATATAAACAGACACACAAGAGCATAGATGCACACATACCTACACATGCACACTCCTTGTGTGTATCTATGTATATCTTTATCTATAGCAGAGGTCTCCAAACTTGGCAATTTATAAGACTCGTGGACTTCAACTCCCATAGCTGGCTGGAGAATTATGGGAGTTGAAGTCCACAAGTCTTAAAGTTGCCAAGTTTGGAGACCCTTGATCTATAGCCACACAGCCCCCAATTGGACATCCTCCGAGCACCCGCTAATACTTTCACCCAGAACTGCCTCCTTGGTGGTAATTGGTAATGTTTTCCCCAATACAGGTAGTTTTCAACTTACTGAGCCGCAAATTTATGTTGCTGAGAAATTTTTGCCACCGTCTTATGGCCTTTCTTGCCATATTTGTTAACTCAATCACTTCAGCTGTTAAATTAGTAACAGTGAATCTGGTTTCCCCCATTGACTTTGCTTGACAGAAAGTCGCAAAACAAAAATAAAATGACCCCAGGACTCTGCAACCGTCATAAAGGTGAGTCAGTTGTCAAGCATCCGAATGTAAATCATGTGACTGTGGAGATGGTCATAAGTATGAAACATAAGTCACTTTTTCCAGTGCTGTTGTAACTTCAAACGGTCACTAAGCGAACTGTTGTAAGTCGAGGACTACCTGTACTCTAACCCACAGTTCCCCAATGTTTCTGGCTTTGAGGAGCAGGCGGGGGGTGGGTGGGAGGGGAGAGGGGACAGTTCCATGCAAGTGAGCAGCAAGGGTGCACGCATACAGCTCCATTTGTGCGAGTGGCATGCACACATGCTTAACACTTGCTTATTAAAGTGGTTCATTATGTGACCATGCTCAATTTTATTCTACAGTGGTTGTTAATTGAATGCCACAGTCATGAAATGAGCACAGCAGTCGTAAAGTGAACCCATTATATCCAAAGGGCCCTTTTGGCTGCAAACCGAAAAGAAACACCCGTTTCTAGCAAAACCCACTGAAAATGATACGTGATTGTGGAACCTGCAAAAACGGCCATAAATGTGGTTCAGTTGCCAAGTGCTCAGAATGCGATCATGTAACCTGGGGGTTTGGGGCAGGTGTAGGGACTCGAAAACTGGGTTGTAAGTAGCTCCGGGGAGATCCGTCATAACTTCAAAAAGTTGCTAAGCCACACATTTGGGACGACCTGTATTATGGCTAATTTTCATGTGGATTCTATTTCCATCCAGTCGTTGAAAAGATGGTGAATGAGGAAGAAGAGGGCACTTCCAAGCAGGGCGGCCCTAAGCCAGCAGAGCCCCATGGGATGCTGTCTGAGAGTCACGCGTCTCCAGACATTGAGTCGGAAGGAGGTGAAGCCGACGAGACGGAACTGAGAAGCTCGAAGTGCGGCCAGGAGAGCAATTCTCTCGCCGTAAATGGCGACGTGACTGACAGCGAGAAAGTTTATATGTCACAGACACAGTATATTTGCCCTGTTTGCGGGGAATGTTTTAATGGGAGCTCCTGCCTCGTGGAGCACCAGAGGGTTCACAAGGAGGAGAAGCTGCGCCCCTGCCCTGTCTGTGGGAAAGGTTACAACCAGGAAGCTGACTTGGTGGCCCACATGCAGAGTCACACGGACGAGAAGCCCTTCTCTTGCCTCGAGTGCGGGAGGAGCTTCCTCTTCAGCTCAGACCTGGTGGCCCATCAAAAGGTCCATACTGGGGAGAAACCTTACATCTGTCTGGAGTGTGGGAAGGGCTTCTCCCAGAGTTCCCAGCTGATGTCCCACCGCAGGGTCCATACTGGGGAGAAGCCCTACGAGTGCATTATCTGCCAGAAGAGCTTCCGTTCCAACTACGACCTAGTCAACCATCAGAGGAGCCACACCGGAGAGAAACCTTACATATGCTCTGACTGCGGGAAGAGCTTCACACGCAGCTCCCACCTCATTTCCCACCAGAGGGTCCACACCGGCGAAAGACCCTACCCTTGTGGGATCTGCGGGAAGCGTTTCCGGGACTGCTCCCACCTCATCCGGCACCAGAGGGTCCACACGGGTGAGAAACCGTACGAGTGCTCCATTTGTGGGAAGAGCTTCCGGGTCAATTACGACTTAGTCACCCACCAGAGGAACCACACAGGAGAAAAACCTTACGAATGCCCCGATTGCGGGAAAGGCTTCAAGCGGAGTTCGCACCTCATCTGCCATCAGAGAGTCCATACTGGAGAAAGGCCGTATCCCTGCGGCATCTGCGGGAAAAGCTTCAGCTACAGCTCGGACCTCATTAAGCACCAGAGAATCCACACGGGGGAGAAACCTTACGAATGTCACATCTGCGGGAAGAGCTTTCGGATCAACGCAGACCTGGTCACTCACCAGAGGATTCACACTGGAGAGAAACCTTACACCTGCTCGGATTGTGGGAAATGTTTTGCCCGGAGCTCGCGCCTGGTGTCCCACCAGAGAGTCCATGTGAAGGATGGGACCTTGGGAACGTCTCTTTCCGAAACTGAGTCATCCCAGCCGGGAGCAGCTACCGTGTCCCCAGCTCCTGAGCACCCTTGGGCCAAGGAGGAGAAGCTGGCCCCAAGCGAGCCTCTGGCTCTGACCAGCCTGGGAACTTCTACTCAGTTTGCCCTTGTCGATGCTCCTCAGGCTGGACGTGTGAGTGAAATAAAGACGGAGTGCAGGAGCTGAGAGGCAAGGAAACTAGAAGGGGAAACATTTTCTTTCCAATAACAAAGTGGTGTACAGAATCCGGGGTCCCTTGCCCATTTTAATTAGCCTTCACGGAAAGTTTGTTTGGTCAAACAAGATACAGTCCAGGGCTTCTCTCCCTCTCCCTCCCTCCAGTGTGCATATTGAAGGATGAATGGGTTGACCCAAGGAAGAATGAAGTGTTTGCGCCCGCAGCATGGTCTCTCCAGCCACTAAAAGCCATTTTGACATGGGCTGGCTTGGCTTCCCCAAAGAAATTCTTGGAAATACAGCTCGTTGAGAATTCTTGATTAAAAAATGTATAGCGTAGAGGTGTGAGAGGAAGTATATAAAAACGGATGTAATGTCGGAACCCGTCCAAAATATATATATTTATTGATGCAAGCTTAAAAAAAAACAAGCAAAAACGGCACTGCTGTGTATGGGTTGCCTTGAAATGACAAATGGAGCTAAAAATATATAACCAAAATTAGTGTTTATTGTAGAAAAGCGTTTCCTTTAAAATAATGCAAAGTAATAATCTCTCATCCATCATGGTGGTTTTTAAAGAAATGCATACAACCCTAGGGTTTATTTGCTCTGTTCCTCGGTGCAAAGCCCTGACTTTTTAAGAATATACTGAACACTCAACACTTCTTTTAAATACAGTCTCCTGCTTTACGGAAACATTCTGTGGTTTATTATCTTCTAACAATTTATCTCCTATGCTTGTGTGTGCGTATTTTTTAATAAAAACATTGTTGCTATAATAAAAGTGCTTTAGTTGGGTAGAATAAAGCTTTAAGTCATTTTATAACATGATTTAACTTAATTTATAAGCCATGATCTTTTGAATCGACTACTCATACAAAGAGGGCTGCCCATTGGATGCAAGGGCAGTTTTGCTTATTATTTCTCCCTCCCATGTCTCATGAAGAAGCTGTTACAGGCCCTCTACTGTAGCCTTTCAACTAGGCATGTCCCTGTTTCTGTCAAGGGGCACAGTTGTGGTGGATTTTCTGCAGGAGTTGCAGTAAAGGCGTCTCTCCATTAGGTCTTATCTCAAGGTGCATTTAAACAAAACTTTCAATCAAGGAATTTCAATCCAGCTCTCTAAAGCATAAACCAAGGATGATGCGAAGGGTTGTTGTGTCCATATGCGTGAAATGTTTATGCTCTTCCCTGGACGCTCACCACCGATTTCTTCTTGTTTATTGTACTCCTTCTATTCATCAATCTTCTTTGTTTGTTTGTTTGCCTGAAATCTCAAACGTTCACTCACCATTCTTCCTGAAGGGAAGACGGGGTGCTGGTAACAGATTTAGTCAACTTTGGGTGCAGCCATATCTGGGCTTGGTTGTGAGTAGATGTGCTTGGGACTGTATTTATATTTTGATAGCAGCTAATAAGTTGATTGTGAGAACTGTTAGTAGTTGCAGCCGTAAGTCCCATCCCATAGCCGTAGGCCATGAAGAAATTGCATGCAGACCAGCAAGCAAGGCTGATGTATTCAGCATTCTAGTAATGCCTGCCAGTTTCTTTTTAAGTCGGAGAAAAAGGCTCTAAACAATGTCCATATCTATAGTGCCTAGATTCACACATCTCTCCCTAAACTGCACTTTTATTTATTGATTAAGCCATAGCACACTAGGTTCACACATTGTCCAGTCTTAAACTGCGGTTCAGAAACCACCACAACAATAATAGTTGGTTTCACACAACTTACTAAAACAATATCATCTGCATTACCGGTTAAATAAAAACCCGGTGAGTCAGAATTCTTCCTTGTTGCACAAAATCCCCAATATCTTAGCTCATGGTTTTTGTGGTCTTGCTTTTAGAGGTAAGCTTCAATTTACGACCTTAATCTGAGCCTTGAATTTCTGTTGTATATCATGACAATTATAAGTTGAGGCAACCATGCGGCTGACATGATTTTAGAACATTTTTTTACGGCAGTCATTAAGTGAACACTGATTCACTTAAGTGAACTCATCGTGCACAGTGGACATTTTTTTTGCCCAAAAAAACCAGAACTAAATGTCAGTTTCCATTTTAAAAAGTTGTAAATTATTATCCCATAAGGATGGGGTATTGCAAATGGGCATAAATGCAGGCCAGTTTCTGGGTGCCAAAATGTGATCACATGACTGGAAGTCACATGGCCATTGGCACTTTGAATCCAGTCTTAAACTTCGGGAGGTCCATGATAACTTTGAATGGTTGCTAAGCAACTGGTCATGACAAGGACTACCTGAGCATAACAAAAATACCACTAAAGATCAATGGCGGAAATGGAGATTGGAAGTAGGGAGAGAAAAGCCGTGGCGAAACCTGAGAAAGCTGGTGATAAAAAATTGTTCAATGCATTTTTTTTATATTTGATAAAATTGCATCTCCCAGAATTTCCTGCCAGTAATGATAATTGTGACTAGAGATTCTGACAGGTAGCTCAAAGCACCTGAAGAACACCTTGTTGGAGAATGCTGCAATACATTGTTGTAGAACGGCACCAGCTTAGTCCTAATGTTTTCAGCTACTACTGTCCAAAGCAGGGGTCTCCAACCTTGGCAACTTTAAGACTTGTGGACTTCAACTCTTAAAGTTGCCAAGGTTGGAGACCCCTGGTCCAAAGTACTAGACCAGGGTTGTCAAACTCGTGGCCTGCAGGCTGGATACGTCATGCGCTGGCCATGCCCAAGCCCAGTTTAGTGAAGGGGAAAAAAGTCCCAATAGGTCACATGACGACCTGAGTTTGACATTCCTGTACTAGAGGTATCAGTGATGCATTTGCCCATATCTGATCAAAGAAACAACTAATTTAAAATGTGTCTCATTGAGCTAATATAAAAGGTTGATTTTTACCAGTGTAATAGAAGATATTCTGGGTTAAGGTTTGGTCATGTTATGTCCAAAAATGTACAGTTGATAAATATGTTTCCTTCGTACTGGATAACACATTTTTCACATAGCTTTAAGGAGGAACCTTGGATTTAGATGATCATCATCTTATTTAATTGCATGTCCCAAGAATGCTTTTTCCGAAAGGCAACTGGATTTTCTTGGTTTTTCCTTGGAGATGTTCCACTTCTCATCAGGAAGCTGCTTCAGTATTAACTGAAGCACCTTGGGAACAAAATTATGTCTTCTTTTCACAGAAAGCAGTTACAAAATTAAAATATGAAAGATTTTTGCTAACATTGCATAGACAGACACATTGGGTGGATTTATATATTATGTTTACCTAAACATGGGGAAACTGAAGGCCTTCAATTAATAATGGTTTCCATAGTCAGTCCCAACCAAGAGGACCAGCGGTAAGTAATGCTAGGATTATATTTCAGCAACATCTGAAAATCAAGTTTCTTCACTCCTCTGATGAAGATACATTATTGATAGAGTTTTGCTTGGGCTTTGAATTAGGTGCAAACTAGGCAATTACAGAATATTGACAGAGTTTAGTTAAACCTGTGGCTTAGTGCAATGTGTGAACCCAACTTTTACTAATTTAAATATAAAAATAGTCTTGCTGCTAGCCGTGACAATTAAACCTTGTCAACTTCTCAGAAAATAAGGGTTTTCCCTCTGAAAATATACTAGGTATAGAAAGAACTGATGTTAACTTAATCAGAATTTTTTGTAACTTAGCCAGCTGAACTGAAGGGAAGTACCATTGAGGGGTATAACTTATGTCTACATAAGTTTTTTCTTAAACTTTCTTTTTAATATGTTTTATTGATCAAGTTTGTTTATATCTCATGTTTACTGTTCTTCTGTCTGTATTCCTTATAGACTTGGATTTTTTTTTAAATTTAAATTTACTGTATTCCAGTTTCTTATGGTAGCCAATAAAGTTTGTTTAAAATTTGAGTGCTTCTCTTTCATCTGGGAATTACAAGCTAAACAGAAAAGGGAAAAAGCTTTCCTAGTATAGATTAAACTAGTTACAATGGCATTCCTCAAGACCCTCTTCCCATAGATGGCTGTTCATTCATTGGTTAATGGACTCATGGTATGAATGATTGCATCCCAAGAGTACTAATAAATGGGTCCCGGATGGAAACATTCAACTGAGAGACACACACTTTTCTCTTCTGGGGCTTGTGGTGTTCAACATGTTTATCATTATGAATGAGGAAATTGGGGAGAGATTACAAATTTCAACATGATACACAATTAGGTGCAGGTAATTTTTTTAGATCAGAGTTGTCCCACCCTGGCAACTTCAATTCTTAAATTCCATGAGTCTTAACAGTTGGACACCCTTGCTTTAAATGAAAGAAGATTCAAAAAGGGCTAGATAAACATGAACAATGGACTGAAATAGATAGTTGCGAATTTAGCAGGGAGAAACCGGTTCTGCAAATAAGACAGGAGAAATATAAGGCCCACAGACAGGATGGGAGACAGCTGTCTTGGCAGGAGTCCATGTGAAAGGAATCCAAATGACCTCATTGGCCACAAGTTCAACATGAACCTGCAATGCAACTGATAAAATGGGCAGAAGTTTCCCTGGAATGTGTTAACGGGAACACGAGTCCAAATCACAGCAGGTCATTCTATTCTGCCCTGACCAAACTCCATTTTGTATATAATGTCTAGTTCTGGGCACTACAGTAGAGAGAGAGGTAAATTAGACCAAGTTCAGGAAAGGTTTACTTAGGTGACAAATAATCTGGCTTTGTGGAACTCTAAAAGAATGTTTCTCAACCGTGGCAGCTTGAAAGATGCATGGACTTCAACTCCCAGAATTCCTCAGGCAGCATGCTGGCTGGGGGACTCTGGGATTTGAAATCCACAGATCTTCAAGCTGCCAAGGTTGAAAAAAATTGCTCTAAAGCCTTGGCAACTTTAAGACTTGTGGACTTCAACTCCCAGAGTTCCTCAGCCAGCAACTCTGGAAGTTGAAGTCCACAAGTCTTAAAGTTGCCAAGGTTGGAGAACTCTGCTCTAAAGTATCTTGGTATGTTTAGCTGCAGAAATAGTGACTATGGTGGGAAGAGTCAGTGCCTACTACAGGTATAAGTAATCCTCAACTTACAACCATTTGTTTAGCAATTGTTCAGAGTTACAATGTCACATAATCAAAATTTGGGTGCTTGGTAACTGGCAAATATTTTATGATAGTTGTAGCATCCTGGGGTAATGTGATCACCATTTCCAATCTTCCCAGGTGGCTTCCAAGAAGCAAAGTCAGGGAAGCTGGATTTCACAACTCCATTTAATAAAACATGGCAAAAAAAAGACTCTAAAATCAGGCAAGACTCATTTTTTTAACCACTACCTTAATTAGTACCAGAAATCCTAATCCCAACTGTGGTCATAAATTGAGGAGTACCTGTTTCAAATTGATTTTTAATCATATTTTGTCAATGGAGACTGTGAGATGATAGATAATGTGCTATCAAATTCATGTCTTCTTTTAAGGACTACTTTAATAGATTTTATATTGACAATCTGTCCCGAGTCT